CGTCCGATCGATGGAGGGTAGCAGTTTCCATGGGGGATCGACATCTTGCGTGTCCATCTGGAATCCAGTCAAGGCCCGGAATTCCACTAGAAAACCTTGATCTTAGGCATCCCATGATCGCGTCAGGCACTTGAGCGTCACTTCTGCCTTGGTTAAAGATGGGTCACCTTTCAGCACCACCCTTGTTCCTCCAGCTTTGAATGTCATAGTGAGGGCGCGCCAATCCACTTCCATCGACTCGAGAGTGCATAACCACTGCATCCCCAGCACGATGTCGAGTCCGCCTAATTCCAATGGGAGAAAATTTTCCACAACAGTTAGCTCGGGAAATTTCAAAATGACCCCTTTACAATACCTTTTCCCTTCACGGCGACTCCTGAGCCCATCACGACTCCGTAATTGGAAGTCTCCACGGTAGGGATCTCCAGTGCTTCAACCAACTTTTGGGAAATAAAGTTGTGGCTAGCCCCACAGTCGATCAGGACCACTACCCCCGTTTGGTCGACCTCCCCACGTAGCTTCGTCGTCCCAGGAGTGGAAAACCCCACCACCGTATTGAGCGGTAGTTTGACCACCTCGCCAACTTCTTCCACGATCGCATGTTCCACTACCGCTTCGCCGTCTATGTCCATATTCCTGGGTTCATCGTCGTGTGCCAACAGGACCCTCAGTTCGTGATTCTTGCAGCGATGGCCCACGGTGTAACGTTCGTCACAACGGAAACAAAGGCCCTTAGCTTCGCGTGCGTTGTATTCCGTCTCTGATAGTCGCTTAAAGTTTGTCTCTCTGCGACTAGGGTTACTTGTTGCGAGAAAATGGGGATTTCGATTTGCCAGAGTGATCGTACGGGTGGTTTGGGCTGGGTGGGCTGGAAGGGCCCTATTTGCTGTGGGAAGTGAGGGTTGGGTTGGGCCAGACACGACACCTTTAGCACCCTAGATAAAGGCTTGCGTGGCACTATTACAATCTTCAATGAGCTGGGCCGCTCGCAGCACATTTCGAAGCCCAGTTGTCTCTCTGCTAAAAACTTTAGCCCTGATGAGAGGGTGAAGCCCATTAACGAAGGTTCCCTCCAAAACTTCCTCTGATGATCCTTGTACGGGTGCTGAGAGTGCTTCAAACGTTCGACGATATTCTGCCACTATCCCTGCCTGAGGGATTGCTAGAAACTGGGCGCAGAGGCTGCCCTCCTGCGACGGTCGGAATTGTATGAACAGACGTATTTTGAGGTCGTCCCATCCGACGAACTCTTGGCCATCCCTCGTCTCCCACCGATACCA